CTGCATATTTTTTTTAATAAGGGGGACACTGGGGGGCGGCAGCTGGATGTTTCCATAATAGCGCCGTGTATCCGATTTGGCTCAAGAAGCTTGGGTGCACTTTGCCCGCGTTTCTTGGCCATTTGCTGTTTCAGCATTTGACGCAGTCGCGTTGTCAGGATGTTCGATCTGATTGAGGTCTGTACGGTGGTTGAGTCTCTCAACCCCCAGGATACCCTTTCAGACTGGTGGAGCGCCGCTTATCAGCGGAAACAGTTCCCAAAAGGAGATAGGCAATACCTTAAGCCTTGCTCTCGAGAAGGATCCTTCTTTCTCCAAGTGGCACTTGAATCACCTGAAGTTGCGAAGAATGCTTGGTGCCTAGAGCAAGGGCGGTTGGTCCTTTTCATTGATCTCCCGCACCTGTTTGGGGTGTATAAGTCGTCATATGATGTGGCGCAGGGAGTGACTTGGGGCCAATTAGGTTCTCGCCCAGGGAAGCGAGCAGGGGCCAACTTTGATAGTTGGCAATCAGTCCTCGGGTTGGTGATGTCAGTTCTTCAGAGAGCTGAGGACTTAATGATTGCCCTGCCAGCTAGAAAAGGCACAGGTTGCCGGGAACTCTTGGGTCTCCGCGATTTAGGGCTCAAAATCGCCGAACAGGAATCTTTAGAGCCCCAGATTCAATTTGAATCGCATTTACCCGTACTCTTTTCCAGCCATAGCTAACCTACGTGGAAGCCCAAGCTGGCATAGGAGAGCAAGGAGAAAACGCAGCTGCGCGAGGAAGCTTATTGCTGTCCACCGCAACAAGGGGTTTCTCAAAGCCACTCTTCTGAAGAGGATCAAAGCTGCAAAGGAATTGCTGGAACTACATCACAGCAAACCACAGTATAAACTGACATTCCTTGAATCTTTGAAGCAGGAGGTTGTCAGTAAGAGAAAGGCCATGTCATGGAAGAAGTCAGGACAATATGAAGGCTGAAATGAAAGTTCATTCCTTGTAGTAACAAGTCTTCAACACTTTTTCATAGGGCCTTGCCAACTGTATTGTCAAGCAGTGACGCTTGTTTCATGCTGCGTATGACATGGAACGCACATGTCACATTCATACGGCACCCTACAGCAACCAATACGAACCAGAGCTTAACAACAGCTCTCTTTCCATTGAGTACCTACCCAACGCCACTGCTTTACAAACAATGTAATTTCATTGATCTGCGCCTGGTCTGCGCCTGGTACGCGCCCCGTGGGTGAATTTTTATCAATTTATTTATTACCAACATTCAAATACATATGCAAAAGAGTTTTGCGCTAAATATTTGAGGACCGTTTTTGATTGTAAACATTTATTAGTACAATAAACTATCTATTATACAGTAGATTTGAAAAACGTTCTAATTGTACAGACCAGGCGCATATCAATCAAAATATTTTCCAAATTGTCAGCAAACACTTACGCATGACAGGCAAGCCTGGTCTCAACCACAAGTAAGCTGTTCAGATTTAAGTTGCAATTTGCAATGTACTTTGATTGGTCTGCGCCTGGTCTGCGCCCGATTGGCAAATTTTGCAAAATTCAATAGTAACCATCGTGGAAGAAGATATGAAAAGGTCTTTATTTGAACATTTCAGCCACGATTTTCTTTATTATAATGTTCCTTTTAAATATTTCTACAATAAACGTAATAGGTTTACAATCAATATGGCCAAAATCGTGCTGATGGCGCAGACCAGGCGCAGACCAATTAAAACAAATTGCAAATTATTGCTACTCAAATCTAAACAGCTTAGGTGTTGTTGAGACCAGACTTGTTTGTCATGCATAAGTTGGAGAAGGTGGACGACATGCTGAATTTAATATTTTTAGTTTCCTGACTTCCCGTCGGCAAGCCTTCTTGGAGACTTTGACTGAAAAAAACATCTTCCGCAGCGTTCGGGTGCCCTGGCGTCCTTGAAGGAAACGGGAGTTCCGGAGGCTGTGGAACTCCTTGGCCTGTTTTAGTCAACGTTTTTAGTCACAGTTTTAATCATTAAGTTTGTTTCCATACCTTGAACTACCAAACAAAATTGGTCCACTGTCTGTTTTAGTCATTTAGTGTTGTTTCCTTCCTTTGCTTCATCAAACAAAATTTGCCCACAGTTTTAGTCATTAGGTTTTGCTTCCTTACTTTCCTTCACCAACACTTTTGGTCTACAGTCTACAGTTTTAATAGTCATTAGTTTTTGCTTCCTTACTTTCCTTCACCAAACATTTTGGTCCACAGTCTTAGTCATTTGGGTTTGTTTTCTTCCTGCCTTTCACCAAAAGATTCTGTCCACTGTTTTAGTCATTAGGTTTTGTTTCTTTCCTCATTACAAAAAAGTCGACAATTTTAGTCATTATAATGTTTCTTCTTCTACTTCACAAAAAAAACTTTGTCCACAACTTTAGTCATTAGTTTTTGTTTCTTTACTTTGCTTCACGAAAACTTTTGCTCTACAGTTTTAGTCATTGGGTTTTGCTTCCTTACTTTCCTTCACCAAAACTTTTGTTCCACAGTTTTTGTCATCAGGTTTTGTTTCCTTTCTTTGCTTCGCCAAAAGATTTTGTCCACAGTTTTAGTCCTTAAGTTTTGCTTCCTTACTTTCCTTCACCAAAACTTTTGATTTGCAGGTTTAATAGTCATTGGGTTTTGTTTTCCTTTCCTTCACCAAAATTGTGGTCCACAGTTTTTTAGTCATTAGGTTTTGTTTACTTCCTTTACTTCACCAACAAATGTTGTCCGCAGTTTTAGTTATTGGGTGTTGTTTCCTTCCTTTACATCACCAAACAAATTTGTCAACAGTTTTAGTCATAAAGTGTTGTTGCCTTCCTTTACTTCACCAAAACACTTTGTTCACAGTTTTTTTTAGTAATTTCCTTCACCAAAAGTTTTGGTCTACAGCTTTAGTCTCGAGGTTTTGTTTCCTTACTTTCCTTCACCAAACTTTTTGGTCCATAGTTTTAGTCATTAGGTTTTGTTTCCTTCCTTTCCTTCACCAAAAATATAGTCCACTCTTTTAGTCATTAGGTTTTGTTTCTTTCCTTTACTTCAAGAACAAACTTGTCAACAGTTTAGTCATTAGTTTTTGACAGTCTAGTGACCATACGCTACTTCAGTTGCTAGCGATTAGCCTGTTCAAAGCAAGTGCATTCAAACCTGTTTCACTAGGGCAGAATTAATCAATGCAAAGTTTTATAGAAACATGATGACATGGCATATTATACTTGATTTTTGCGAGTTTCAATTACTAAAAGCTACCCATCCTCTTACACAAATGATATGAATTTGCCATTGGCTTGATACTACCTGGAAATCCTACCCCTTCCCTCATCCTACCTCTTCCCTGGTAATCGTGCCGCCCAAATCAAGGCGCACACCGAACGGCCTAGGTGGCCCCCGGGTGGTAGAAGTTGGATTTGAAGCCAACACAGGGAGGTGTACCAGGGACAGGGACAGCTTGGGTTTGACCAGTCGGGGCGGAGAAGACCATAAGTCACATCGACTTGAATTCAGCGCCGTCTGAAGTGTCTAAGGAGTTGCCTCTTCAAAGACGTCGATGGCTTCAACGATTCAATTCATTTGTGGGACACATCGTCCGTCACAGACGCTTGGGTAGCTCAACGTCGGTTCGGTGGTGGTGCTTCGGGAGACTGATCGAATAGATGGATAGAGACGTCTCGGTCATGGCCGAAGGAAAATGGGACATGACCTCAACAAAAATCAACCCATGAGCACCTTCCGAAATCGGGGCCTCCAATGGACTACCCTACACCACCGTTTGATCTCCATTTGGAACACTTTGAAGGTCCAGGCGGTCCAGGTGTCTGTTTACCAAGGGCGACTGTTGTCGTTGAGGTTCTTAGTTCGACAGTCAGCCTGACAGTCGAATCCAGTCGCCAGGGAGATTCTGTTTCAGAGACTTCTTGATGCTTCGCGGATGGAAACATATACTCTTCAGGACATGAGCTATATGTTTAGCAATGCGGACGTGTTCAACCAAGAGATTGGCAACTGGAATACTTCAAACGTGAGGGACATGCGCTACATGCTTCTCGACATCAAGAGTTCTTTGAATCCCGGCATCTTGTGATTGTGAATGATATTTGTGTGCAAAGCGTTGTATATTTGATGCTAATGTGTCTTCCCTTACGGCTCCAAGCACATCCTTGAAAGATCTCAGAAGGTACCTGCTACCCATAAAAACTGAAAACTATTCTTAGAATCTGGAATGCAATTGAATTTGTGTTGCTTGCAAGGATTTACACGACCGAACATGCCTGAAGAGCACATTATTGTTGCAGCTCAGTGTCTTTTGGCATTTGGCCAAAGCATTTACACTACGACCCTCCAGCAAAATCCCTCAAAAGTAGGCTACACCAACCTCCCTACGAAAGGCAACATGTTTACACCTTCCGCACGGCTTGCGAACGGTTTGCGCACGGCTTTTGAACGCCTGTTGAACGCCTTCTGAACACCGTCGAGTACACACGGGTTTGAACGGGTATGCGGTTGAACAGGGAAGTGTACGGGTTAAATGGTTCATATTTCATAAGGGCAAACACGGATTTGTTCGGGTTTGAACACCTCTGAAAGCCCCCAACTGGATAGTGCAGAAGGTGTACTCAAACAGTATTTTTGTTCTGTGCGTCGAATCCTTGCAAAGTTCAACATGTGTTGAAAATTACGGATGCGTACGGGTAATTTCGCCCGTGTGCAGGTATTTCTTGTGTACCCTAAGATGTTGCACTTCTCCACAAGTTTGTATGCATGAATTCAGCCAGGGCTTGTGTGTGTGTGTGTGTTGTGTTCGCTTTGTGCTCCAAGTTCCTTTGGCTTGAAACTGCAGGTGATCTCACTTTTCATCACTGTTGTTTATACTTCTTTGTTCCTCTTGGCTTCACCATGAAGTTCCAACAGCGTGTCGGCTCGAGGTTCAGCAATGCTCGGAGCTTCAATCAGGACATTGGTAATTGGAGTACATCGCAGGTCACAGACATGCGGGGCATGTTTGAAAATGCACATTCCTTCAACCAGCCCCTACGAGATTGGTGCTTTGGATGAGAGATGAGAGGGTGGAAGTGGTTCAGAGTTGGAGCTTTAGTACAGCCGGGTCCCAAAGCAATGGACCATTCTTTGGAGCTTCAGTTAGACCAGACCATTCTGAATCGAGAGCGTCGGACCTCATAAATCACCTATGAAATACGACACAAACAGGTCGACTCCAGGTATTTTGAATCCAAACCACCTCATTCATGGAGTCACTGACTGTGCCCACTGGAATCTCGGGAGTGTGGGAAACCGCGGAGAACGTGCGTTGCATGCGAATATCTTGGAATCCAACTTTGATTCAGCTGATCGACATGCGTCAATCCGTATGGTGTTTTTGCGTTCCTTCCTTTTCCCTGCGATATCTCATCATTCTGTTCAGGCAACATGGTGGTTTTTGTTTCATTCTTTGTTGCTGTTCCTCCTCGCAATGCACGCTGCAATCATCCTCCTCGCAATGCTAGTACAGCGATCCTGTTGGCCACCACTGCACACCACTGGGAGGCCCTCATCACATCCTTCCTGAATCTGAATGCCACGTCTGAGACCCAAAGGATCCCGAAGGGCCCGAGTCGAGCTCCCGGAGTCGAGCTCCTAGAGTCGACACGTACCTCGGAACTATACGGTACAAGTATCCCTAGGGCTGCCCACCTCCTGAGGTGAAGGTGGTTGGGGTGGGTGGGTGCCAGGGGGATCTAACCACCGAACCTGAGGATATGGGACAGGAGCCCCAGGGTATGTACAAATACCAGCTTTTGGTACTCAGGGACTCCTCACCCTGCCAGGCCCGCACGCCAAACCGCCCAGTCTTGTTGCCCGCCTCAGGGACACTTCATCCGTCACGGAGATGAGCGAGATGTTCAAAGAAGCCTATGCATTCAACCAGGTCGAAGCGGGGTGTACCGAAACCGGGATCTGAACCTGGAACCCTAAGCCTGGTGTGGATAGAATATGCAACCGTGATGAACCAATGAAACAACCATAGTACTATAGCAGTTTCTAATATAGTTTCTATACCAGCACCCTCCAACAGGTGCTTCCTGGTGACAAGTCCGGTGCCCAGGTTCACCACCTGTGAGGTTCTCCAAACAACCTGGCCGGGAGGGTCCAGAATACTATGCATGTGTTTTGTTGTTTCCCCACTATCTAGTCCTTGGAAGGTTCCTAAGTGACCCTTTGGAGGCTTAAGTGACCCTTGAAGAACCAGGTGTTGGTTTCTTTCCCCATTACTATCTAGTCCAGAATAAACTACGTAGATCACCTGCAGGTCGACCGTCACCTTCTTGGGGAGGAAACACTTGTCGATCGTGAACGATCGTGAACGTCTGCAGGGATGGCCGGTCACGGCCGTATGCGGTTCCTCGGGTTTTGTGGGGGTGGTAGGTGGTATCTTGAGATCCGAGATCAAGGAATCCGCCCCAGTGGGGACGTTAAGAAGGTGCAGATCTCGAGATTTCTTGAGTGTTTTTGTCGTTTTCGTTCCCTTTTGTCGGATCTGGAGCGGGAGAATTGAAAGATCTGAAAGACTACCAACATAGGTATGACAAGTACCAGCACTTCCCGAAATCGAGGTCTCCAATAGACTACACTACACTATACACTTTGTGGATCTCCATTGAGCATCTCTTTTAAACATGGAGGACGGATAGCCAGTCATGGTGCGATGAATAAATCAAAAGAAGTTCCCGTGTCTGTGGCTGCTTGGCTCGCATAGTCTTTGTGCAGATATTCGAGGCACACAAACTATGATATCCAGTCATTACCCTAGGGCTCCAACCACCTCCTGAGAAGGTGGTTGGGGTGGGTTTGGTGGTCTAGCCACCTTCTGAGGATGTGCCCAGAACATCACATCCACAGCCCGATGGGACTAAACACCACCCACCACCCTGGCCGAACACAGACTCCTCGGCCTGGCCTCCATCGGTCGGTCTTCCACGAGGCGATTGGAGATTGGAAGATCCTAAAGGTCCGGTCAACTCGACGCATGTTTGATCATGCTTGGCACTTCAATCAGCCCATTGGGCTCTGGAACACCTCGGCCGTGGAGGACATGAGTTGCTAGGCGCCCGGAGGTGGAGACCTGGAGTCGACATCGATCGTACCTCCGAAGATGGAGAGACTCAGTCGTTCCTGTTAGTGAATGTTTATGAATGTTTTATATGTTGCGTTTACATTGGGTCATGCTAAGCTAGCGGCTAAGGTAACAGTTAGCCGAGACATGGTCATGTCCCATTTTCTATAGGTTACAAGCAAGTGGTCGGGTCCAGTGGAAGAAGCTTTTGGCCTAGAAAAACCGGTCGCCGTCGACGGTCGACTTGCTTCACGAGCACGGTGGGATTAGCTCGTTTTCTTTTTGTTCGGAGCCACGACCTGCAGCTCAGGCTACATGTTCTCGCATGCACACCACTTCAGTCAGCCGATCAACTCGTGGGAGTCTTGAGGCAAAAAACATTGGAACGAACGAACCCAAAAAACTGCCACCCAGAGGCTCATGGACCCTCAAATTGCAACATCCTTTTTGGTCCAATGAGCCTTTGGGTATGATTCTTCATGATTCTTCCACAGATGGGGTGTTTGCTTCTCAGATCCAAAGCAAAGAAGAATTTAGGCCCAAACCGGAAGAACGGATGAGAAGAAGTCCCCGGGCAACGTGGGAGGGCCATGGACCTTTATGTAAAGGAATTGGCTTAACTCGCCCTACACGATGGGTCTTCGACACCCAAGGACCAAGGACGCTTGGAGGGTCGGACCTTCGAAGACGGTTCTTGGATCATTTTAGATTCCTAATTAGATCCCTATATAGGGCTAGGGAGCAATTGACATGACATTGTGAGGTAAAGTGTGTCCCTTCTCAGGTTCGGTACGACTGGACAATTACTTTGCCTAGATGAAAGAGTCTCTAACAGAACACCCTCGATAGGAGGGCGGCAGTGGATCCAGAGGGGCGTTGTGATGGACGTTCGTGTATCAATCCATGACTATTTTGTTACCCTCACCCGCACCGTTCGTGGAAAATTGTCCCTTGGGAAGAGGGTTTCCAACTTGATTCAGATGACTTTTGTCGTGAACCTCGGAGTTGAACCTTTTTCCACTGACAAACTTGCCTGCCATGAAATCATAGTGGTTTTGCTGAATCACTTTGCAGGTCTTGAATTGTTTGGAGCTTCCCAACACATGAGGCTTGTTGGGTTCCGATCACGCCTGGAGGATCAGTTGGTACCTCCGATTGGGTCCCGTACAACGTTGGGTCGGATTGGCCAATCTAAGGATTGCTCGGCAGTGAAGAACATGAGCTACATGTTCTGTTCCGCACCAGTCCCTGAACGTCAGCAGGATTTCTATCATTTTGTCAAAATGGTTTGATTCATTCATAACAGTCCACCAGCACCACCTATTTTGGCATACCCGTATGAACAGGTTGGCTGTAGACAAAGAAACTGGAATGATTCCTGACCTTCTACTGGACAGTCAGTTCAGCCTTTTTTGCTTGGTCTACACCATGTTTCTTGAATCTGGAAGGAGTCGACCGATCCCAATGAAGTGTTTGGGTTCTAGTACACCTATGTGTGAATTAGGATCGGCAAGCCGTCACTCCTAGCCTTCCTACATTCTCGGTTCGTACCTCAGATAATTGGTACCACAACCCACAAGGTGGTTAATGGACACCCCTATAACATCCTGAAAGGTCCTTGGTACAAGGACCTGCTTTATACAGGGTCGTTGGCCGTGTCCCATTTTCTCTTTGTACTTAGGGTCCAGGTACGTACGCCTGAAGATTTGGTTGCAGCATACTCAATATACCAGGCCTGTTACGGTGGGAAACCAGGGGTCAACCGACCTTTTAAGTTCTTTTCGGCACCTGTAGCCAAGCATCATGGCTGGAACAGCCTCCCAACATACCTTTGTCCCTGAAAAGCTAGGGATTTGAGACCCCACGCCTCTCCAGATGAGGGTCCGGCCCCTACTTAAGAGGATCCAGGGTCGCGTTTGATCTGTCTTCCTTTTCAGGGCCACACCTTGAGGTCTTTAATCAGCCGATCGGCGCTTGGAATACTGGAGCTGTCGTGGACATGAGTGGCTCGACAGCTTTGGAGCCACATGAATCCAGCAGGTGAAAAGCGACGGGACCCGCATGCTGCCTGCATGAAAGTGTCAAACACACTATAGGCCTTGATAGGATGGGTAGTATGTGGATCCGCATGAGCCAGAGAAAGCTGCTGGCTGTCCTTTATGTATAGGGGACCAAGTGTCCAAAGCCTCGGTCTTGGCCCACCTAAAAGGCAAGGACAGGCCCGGGCCCCAAAAACCACCCCAAACCACCTCATTAGCCACCCACTCTTCCAGAAATCGTTGGAGAACAGCGACTCGATTATCAGCGGCGATCCATGGGCGTTCAGGTCGGTGTCGCCCCAGTGGGGATTGGAACTCACTGGTCGGCCTGCCCAGGTGGCTTGTTCAAACATGCACTGTGCTTCAATCAACCAATTGGATCGCAGCTTAGCAGAAACCGGGGCAAGTTCGCAGAACTGGTGCGGTTGAGGTGGGCTGCTTTTGATGTGTGTGTTGTTGTTGGTCCAAGCGACATGGAGATCGACCGAAGTTCGTTCCTTTCTCCCCTGTTTTTATTTGATGATCAAAATCGGGTCATGTCCCAATCAATAGCTCTATGGCTCTATGGATCCACTGCCACCGTACCTCAGGTTCGGTACGACTGGACCCTCCAAACCTACAAAGAATGTCCTTGCTCACATTCTTCAAGGTTATGTGGATCCATAGGGTACGAACTGGCGGGTACGAACGGAGTTTGGATGCATCCAGTGTGTGAAGCTGTTTCTGAAAAACAAAAAAAGCCGGACGCCGGTGAGGATCTGCTTGATCTTGCAAAAGAGTATGAGTTGCGGATAGTTGCGGTTGTTTCTGTGTGTAATCTTTGTTTCACCAGTGCTTGAGACCTAAAGGTGCCTACTCCCCAAAAGTTTTACTCTTGGACTTCAGACCACACCAGAATTGCCTGGTGATAGGACAGTGGCCGTGACTTTCACTTCGCATGTGGTACCTACATCGGTACCGGTGGCGGGGTTCCGGTCGCTGGCCCAACCGAACTTCTCCGAGTCTCGGTTCGCACCGAACATGGGTACAGTCGTATCACGTACAGTACCAGCAGTCACGTGGAAGTCGGGGTGCCGAACTGGGGTTTTTCGTGGTGCCTCTATCACATCCACAGCCCCTGGATGGGACGAGGCACACCACCCTGGCCGAACAATGTGACTCTTGGTGCATCTGTTTATTTTAGTATCATATGTCCCATTTTCCAGGGTACTTGAAGCACTTGAAGTCGGTTCCAGGCGGATCGAACTGACACGAATCGTGCCGGGCCGGCTTCTCCGGACAGCCAGCGCCAGCGCCAGACTAATCCAAAAGACTTAAAGCAAGCGGCTGAACTCCTCTCGTCCACAGAGAATTGATCCCCTGATCCACCTGAACAGCCAGGGGCGGGGCCTATCCGCATGCTGGATGCAATTACTCCGAGGATCTCCGAGGTAACTCAGACTGGAGACTGACTGAAAGGTCCCAACTCTACAGGAGGGGGGACCAGGATCATGGCAATCAGCGGCTATCAAGGAACATGAGGTGACAGGGACTCAACAAAAGTCCCAAGTTCCCTCAAATGCTTGGGAGACCATGGGAGACCTGGTGATCATGACACGATGACGAAGTCCACACTCAGGTGGGATACCTCCTCGGTGATTAATATGCGGTACATGTTCAGCGATGCCGATGCCTTTGATCAGCCTATTGGGTCCTGGAACACTTCGAACGCACAAACCATGAGCTACATGCGCCACGGCAGGGTTTATGTGTGTGTGTTGTTATGTTTCCTGGCCTGGTGTTGCTTATAAGGTGGCTAAATCCCCTTCTGGTGAATATGTGCTTTTGTTTCGCAGGTTCTTAAAGCCAATTCCAAGCTGGCAATGCCTGCTGCAAAGCATCGGTCTATGAAAGCAAAAAGGGATAAGAAAGGAGAACCCAAGAGGAAACCCCTAACCCAAGAGGAAGAGCATACGATTATGCCAGTTCGTGCCGCAGACGATGTGCCGCATACCCAGAGCTCTCCACAGGTGAATACAACAATGCCGGGATCCAAGCGAAGAGAACACGCGTACAAGTAACTGAGCAAAGTTTTAAAAGGTCATGGACCATGGACTCACATTTTGCAAAACATTTCAGTGTTCAAATCGTTTTTGTGAGTAGACCATGGTGGGCACAATAGAACCCACACACAGTTTTCATTTTCTTTGAAAAACACAACAAACAACAATATCAATTCCCAAAAACGGTACCAGTTGTACTGTTGTTTGTTGTTGTTGTTGTTGTTTCTGGGGTGGGTGGGTCATGTCCGATTTTCTAGGCTACTTGAAGTCGCGTTCAGGTCAGGTCCTTGTGCTCCTTTTCCGAAATACTTTCACCGGTCGACTCCGGTCACCACAAAGGATTCGTCCAAATATGCATTTTTCGTCCAAGCTTCGGACAGCGGCGGCACGACACTGAGGTTCTACAACGCGGTGTCTTTTGCCTATCCCATTGGCAACTGGGACACCTCGAGTGTCACTGTGACTTGGATCGATTGAAGATGAGATGAGACGTCTTACTGGTACGACTTGTTGATGTCTTAAGGGAATGACATGGAATGATCCGTCACTATACCTGACTGTAGAAAGTTCATTAATTACCCTCCATATTTGCATTGAACAGACCTCTTCAGACCTGGGGGATGGACACTGAATCTACCGGGGGTCTCAGAAAGTACCTCAGAAACAGCTACAGACTCCAGTATTTGTAGAGGGGTCATGTCCCATCTATAGGGTTGAAGATGGGTCCAGGTCCTGATCAGTCGCACGCCGTGCGTTGAAAAGCAGACTGGTTGGCACCAGTTCCAGATGGCGCCTTTTGGACTAACAGTAGGTCTAAGTATAGGTGACTGGAGTTTTTGAAACACAAAACAACAAAAACACAAAACAACCAAGAGTCACAAAAGGGTGCTTTTTTTGTCCCATCCAGTGAGTGGATCATGGGCACCCCTCGATGCCCTTTGCTCCCTTCGTCGCGTCCGGTCGCTCCAAACAATGGAACTCCTGGTGACCCTTTGCCCGACAAGTATGGAATGGCCTATACATTGACCCCTGAAGCCACCCCATTGTATGCATATATACCTGGAGTCGACATGTTCATACCTCGGAAAATGGGTACCGTCGTACCTGGAAATGACCCATTTTCCAAGGTACTTTGCAGGGTCCAGGTATGTTTGGGTTTCGATGTCCGTTTGGATTCACAGTAAGAATCCCAGAAAATTCGTCTGGCAGTCCAATCTCGTCGAATTAATTGAGTGCATCTCAAACTTGTTTTTGTTGTTTAACTGTTGGAAGTTTCCAATGTTTGCAAGCACTCATGTATGGAATAGTTATGAATAGTTACATACCCTTGACCCCGCTACTGTAAGTCAGCATTCCATACATGGATGGTTTCGGAAGTTTTACAACCGCTCGGGCGCACAGGATATGAGCTACATGTTCAGAGATGCTGACTCCTTCAATCAACCGATAGGCCGTGACTCACATCGTTTCACTCTGGTTTCGTGCTGACCGGGCAGGGGGGTGGACTTGGGATAGGCATGGCCAGCACGGCCTAGGCCGAGAAATGATAGGAGTCGGGACCAATTCCAAGGCCGTCCCGCAAGCTATGATAGCAACTATTCCAGGCAAGCCTATGACCCTATAGAACAGATGTAAATAAACTTATAGAAACTTTAGCACCTTCAAGCTTTGGACAATGGGAACAGTAAGTACCAGCACCACGGAGAGGGTGGCTTATAAATATGATATATATATATATTATATATATATGATATTTTCCATCCAATCACCATCCTTTGGGTGGCGCTGGTATTCCTTCGTGGCAAGTGTAATAATGTTCTTCCATCTATTTCCAGTATGACTGCCTTGAAATTTGGAGACTCCATGGATAAATCATGTCCAAAACCAAACGACGGAGCTGTTTTCTTTCGTGCTCGTCTTTCTCCTCGTCCGCGACAGACAGGTGGGTGGGATACGTCCGCCGTGACAGACATGGCCTTCATGTTCTGTGACGCCAATGGGTTCAATCAGCCCATCGGTGACTGGGACACCTCACGTGTTCAATCCATGACCTTCATGCACCTTTGGCAACGTAAAAAAGGGGTGGCGTGGCGAGTTTGGGCAAACAAAACGACCAGCAGTTCGAAAGGGGTACCGAAATTGGAGGAAGTCGGGGTGCCCCTATCACATCCACTCACTGGATGGGACTAAACACCACCCCTATTCTTAGTCACTCCTGGTATTTTATGGGTCTGAAGTATCAGGCCGTTTCCGAGGGTCCAAGATGGTTCTGTTTTGGAGTGGATGTGTGTTTCTTGTTTGGCCCATGGGCCGGGGACTTCGTGGTAGCGAAACTGGACACTCCTGGGATCACCTGGGATCCAAAAGATCAAACCCAAGCGGCACCGAAACGCAGCGGGTCCCCCGAACGAAAGACACCCCATCCATCGGAAACCGCACGCGGTGGATTTCCGGAAGCCAACGGTACCCCTCCCCCAACTGCGCCACGACGAGGGCCGCACGCGGTTCTCCCGCGGTTCTGAGGTTTTGTGACACGGGTGACTTCAACCAACCACTGGACCAGTGGGACGTCTCCTCAGTGACGGACATGAGCTTCATGCGCTTTGGTAGAGATTGTTCTTGCTGAAGTGATTCGCAGCCTCAAAGCCTACATTGACCTCTCACATCAATGGTAAATATGTCAGTCCCATGGCATGTTTGGGAATCTTAAACATTGTTTCACTTGACTTGATTTGATTTGTGAAGCAAGCCAAGTGCTTGGGGAGCTAATTCTATTGCGAACGTCCTGTGAATCGTGACCCGCGTTGCGAATCAAGAAATACCCTCCGCGGCCTGGAGTCTCAGTGCTAAAAACCTCGGAACAATGAGTACAGTGTACAGTCGAACCTGTCAGTGTAGCTTCTTGTTACCAGTTGCGTTGGCCTCAAACCTATACATGATACATGGCCTCCAATCTACTTGCAATGGCCTCAACCTAATAGCAACCTTGCTACTAGTAGCTTCTTGTTCCTAGTAGGAATGGCCTCCAACCTACTAGCGATGGCCTCCATTTGCTAGCGTCCTTGTTCCTAGGGTCATGCCCCATTTTACTTGAAGTTTTCTTCAGCCGCGGTCTGTTGCTCTCGGACTCAGAGGTTTAGCAACGCAGTTGCCTTCGACCAGCCCATCGGCTATTGGAATACCTCGAAGGTGGTGGACATGAGTTACATGCCACTTGGACGAGATTTGGATGAGGCTTCTTCCTCTAGGGATCCTTCTACCGTTCTGATCTATACGATGCCCACAACTTCTCCCATTTGCACCCTTCTTTTCATAGCTTCTGGTGCACTAATCAGGCATGCAAGGGGCACAGACACATAGAACTTGTGTATATCATGCAAGTTTTCACCCTGACTGTATAAAACTTGATCAGCTGTCATAATATATATATATATATTATACGCATAATATTTCATAATCATAGTATAGTATAGTATCCATAATCGCCACAATAAGACTAATAATTATCATCATCATCGGCTGCGTTAGGTTCTCAATGGATCAACCAGAAGGGGGGCATGTTCAACTTATTTGATCAGTAGAGGCCTAATTCATTCCTGTTGACCAATTTATGGTTTTGCTTGGGGGTGATGTTTGTTTTCCCTATGGGTGAATCCCCTTCTGGGAAATATTGTATTTGTACCTCGGTCTGGCATGTGGATGTCTTTTGTACAAATTGTCAAGTTGACAAGGGGAAGATGTGGTTGTAAGTCACAGCCCTGTAAAACAACAACAAGTTGCCAAAAAGACCACAGCGTTCTTTTTGTCGTTCCGTTCTGCAGGTGTCCTGCCTTCCCAACTCTTGATCAATCCCCAACTCTCCGGACTGACCGGTCTCTAGGGTTGTTGGGGTCAAGGTCGCCCGGTTGAATCAGTTCCCTAAGGGTCCGGGTACCTCCTTTTCGGATGGTCTTCCTGAGGTGACTACGTACTTCCACAGAAGGGTCTGTCAATCTGCTACTGGGGGCCTCTCAAGTCATCCTCAGGTACCTGGACCCGCGGTTGCACCAGTTCTTTTCGGCCTCAGGTTTTATGGGGCGGATGCCTTCCATCAATATGTGGGGACCTGGGATGTCGGACGAGTCGAGCAGCCTGACGCTTGGCGCAGTTTCTCGCAGCCCAGTCACCGTGGATGCGCGGATCAAAGGGTTTGATCGACGTCGACCTGTGACCTCGGAGCATGGTGCCCCAGGAAAGTGCATGTTTTTAATCCGGTCCACCTAATAAAAAACACGGCCCCCCCCCCTGAAAAGTAGAGCCTACCTGTACAGGGTTCCACTCCAACAGCCGATATAGTGTGTCCATGCTTGACTGCTTCAAGGCTCAAAGAGCAAGAGGATAAGACTCTGCGCATAAAAGACACTAGCGGTCTGCACCTCTACCGTGTACGCCCTAGTCACTCTTTCAGTGGTAGCGGAGCAGTGATCCTGGAAGACCCAGGTGAGCTCCTTTCCTAGGCATAGACTTGCTAGTGGGCAAACGGCCATGGATTGGTTTGACGACTGGGAAGAGCCTGATGCGGATGTGGCTTATGAGCCAGCAGCCTACGTGAATAGGCATGTGAGAAGAGAACCAGCAGCAATAGCAATGACAACACAGGTCACTACAAAGGTGCCCCCATCTTATGATGGAAAGACTTCATGGTTTTCCTATGAGGATGCCATAGACGATTGGTGTGATATCACCGAGCTGGAAGATGAGAAAAGAGGACCAGCATTGAGAAACAGATTAGAAGGAGAAGCAGCTGTATACAAGCGTGTTTTAGACAGAGATGCATTGAAGGCAAATGATCCACCAGGAGCCGGCGTAGAATATTTCAAACGAGTACTACGACCATATTTCGTGAAAGGATCAACCAATGTATTCCTGTATAGGTTCATGCAATTCGTGCGCTTCAATCGAGGATCAGCTGACATGATGAAATGGATGACAAGATTCCAGATTTTACTCCAAAGGCTTATGAGCAGTTGGATGGACATGTTAGAACCAGTCACTCAAGCACATCCACAAGTCCTAGCTCAGATGCAGGCAGATGCAGCATTGACTGGAACAGCACCAACGGCAGAAAGGATTCAGGAAATCATGCAGACCATCAATGGCAACATGAGGACCTTTCATCAGAACGAATTTCCTCTAGGAGAAAATCTCATTGCCTTACTCATGCTGTCACTTGCAGATTTGTCTCAGGACCAGCGAAACACTTTGACTTCATTGATGACTCATCGTGGCAGGGTCCTGCAGCAGTATACTACAACAGAGTTGAGGACAGTGTTCATCGAGATGTTCTGCACAACAAAGACTTCAGTAGACAATCCTTTGATGCAGCCGACAGGTGCTGGAGGTAGAAGATCATTTCTCGTACTAGACGAAGGAGAACTCGATGGTACATTTGGCTATTGGGCCGAAGATGAAGAAGATGGAACTGAAGGATTTTTAGATGCCCTGGACGATGTCTTTTGGGTATATGATGATCAAAACTTCTCATGGTTCCAAAGGAGATTCCAAGGAAGAAGAGCCAGAAAAGGCAAGGGAAAAGGAAGAAGAAAAGGAAAAGGTAAAGGAAGATCAGGCCGCAGATTTTTCAGACCTCGTGGAAAAGGAAAAGGAAAGAGACGAGGTAAAGGCCATTTTGCTGATGAGCAACAAACAACATATCCAGAAGAGTACTTTGAAGAGAATCCTTATGAGGACACTTGGGAGTCAAACCAAGTAGCATATGATGCCATTCTTGCCGAAGATATGAATGACTATCTTCAAGGAGAATACGATGAAGCCAATGACTTTTGGCAACAGCTTGAAGAAGCATGGTTTTCCCACAAAGGAAAAGGAAAAGGCAAGAGAAAAGGAAAGAAAGGAAAAGGAAAAGATAAAGGAGATGGCAAACTAGATGCAAACTATGCAAATCCACAACAGCCACGTTCTTTACCTGCACCTTCAAGATCTTCACAAGCATCAGGAGGTCAACAAGGTTTCTTTGCACATTGTGTGACAGCAGCAGCTGAAGTCCATGACAGTGAGGTGGACTTGCTGTCAGGCATGATGACCTCATGTCAAGATGAAGCTGACTGCGCAGTCGACAATGGTGAGACGATCTTCAATGGCATGGGTGCCCCTGTGAGGTACTCTTTGTCAAAGGAGATGCTCACAAAGGCTCCTGATGGCTTTGCGCTTATGAGCGCTGAGGAAGAAGTGAAGGAGATGCAGGCCATTTCATTTTTGACTGAGAATCGCTTCCCGCCGACTATTGCAATCCTGGACATTGGATGCACTAGAGCTATGGGATCAAGGCGAGCAGTCGACCATTTTTGCAACTATGTCGACAATCACCCAGATTGTGGATTATGGTACTCCTTTGAGGCTACCAAGAGCAAGTTTTACTTTGCCAATTCCCAGAAGGCTACTTGCTCTCAGAAACTGGTGATTTACATGTATGATCGCGCATGGACGATCCACCATACAGACTTCGACATAGTGGAAGAAGGAGAAGTCCCTTTGCTTATGAGCTTGCCACAGATGAGGAACTTAGGCTTTGAACTCAGGCTGACACCTCAACATGCTTATCTGACATCGGTGCCTCTTGGTATCAAATATTTGGAGTTGAAGGTTGCAGCCAGTACTCATCTTGTTTTGGACTTCCAAGATATTGCATGGTATCTGTCTGACGTGAATTTGCAGACTCGGCGCGAGAAGAGTTTTTACTCTCACTTCACTCACTATGAATATGGTCATATTTCTGTTGACCTCAATAGTGATGAAGATGTAGCTGAACATGCATATCCTGTGGTTGACTACTGGGAAGTAGATGTTCACAAGAGAGAACTGATACGTCACCACAAGGATTATAGAAAGTTTCTGTTTCCAGCAACTAAGTCCTGTCCTGTAGACACTGACTTACTGGAAGACTTGCGACTGACAATCATCAAGAAGAAGAAAGGTGGAGAAGAGATCAAGAAGCAAGATGATTGGCGCAAGGCAAAATGGAAGGACCTACAAATTGGCTATGAATGGCGTGGTAGAACAATTTTTAAGTTTAAACCAGATGCCAAAATTCCAGATCTAAAGATCAAGAAGGCTGGCATTGAGCACCGTGGCATTGGTGATCCCGATGCAGTGGTGCGCTCCTCCTCAGAGAAGGTTCCCATTGCAAAGGACAGGGAACCAGGCTTCTCATCAGAGAAGGAAGGTGCACCATCCAGTGCCGCGGAAAAGCCCGCGCCGCCAAAGTTTCGGTATACTTCCAAGGGTTTTGATCCATTTTGGAAAGGACACAAGTCGAAACCATCTGAGCCTCAGAATGATTTAAAGGGTGATGATCTTGAGGAGTATGCTCCCTCAGAACCACCTGAGAGGCCAGAAGGTGAACTTGTAGAAATTCCTAAAGCATCAAAAGGACCATCAAGTGATAAACATGAACCACTTGAACCAGGTGATGGCGCTCTTGAGCCTAGGCGGATTTCAATCCCATTACCTGGTAGTGAAGTTGTTGCAATGACACCGGCATATAGGAAGATGTTGCAGAGACTGGAGGACAAGGTAGAGCTTTATAAGCTTCATGTGAAGCACTATCATATGAGTCCTACTCAGTTTCGTAGACGTGTTTCTATGTTGAAGCTTCCTGACTCTGTTTTAGAGAAGTATGAATCAGTTGTCAGGAACTGCCGTGTTTGTAACACTTCAGTGGCACCTCCGCCACGAGCCAGAGTCTCCGGTATTAGAGCTTCATGTTTTGGTGATGTTGTTTTTGCTGATCATTGTGAGGTTGAACTTCACAAGAACAAGTATATCATTCTACTTGTTCTTGATGGTGCCACAAATCTTCTCTGGGCTACGGCACAGAAAGACCTCATAGATCAAACCACCATCCAAGCATTGAGGCAATGGTCTGATGAGAACAACTGTGTTCCAAAGGCCATCGTAGGAGACGAAGCCTTTTTCACCGATGCTTTTGTTGAATACTACAGGTTCCATGGTATACAACAATGTCCTTGTGGGCCAAGAACTCCTTGGCCGAACCGAGCAGAGACAGCTGTACGTTTGTTCAAACGTATGTGGCATGTTATGAAGGTAGATCTGGATGACCCACGTTTTCGTGGTGTTACGGTCAGAGAAGTGGTCAAGAAGGTAGTTTGGGCAAGAAATTGTCAGTTGACTATCAGTGGATATTCACCAATAGAGATAGCAACTGGAAGACGTCCACCAGATCTTTTTGACCTTGAGACCGCAAGCCCTGAGCAATTGTCAGCTAATGCCGCCGCACAAGATCGTACAAATTTGGAACTACAACGTGTGGCTTTGAGAGCTCATCAAGAAGCACGACAAGC